AAAACAGTCTAATTTTCATTTTTGGGTGAACTAACCCTTTAACGATAGTTCACCCAAAAATTGTCATTAATTACTCCCCCTCATGTTGTTCCAAACCCGTAAGACCTTCGTTCATCTTCAGAACATAAATTAAAATATTTTTGATGAAATCCGAGAGCTATGTCACCCTGCATAGACAGCAAAGCAACTGAAATGTTTTATGGCCCAGAAAGGTAGTAAGGACATCGTTAAAATAGTCCATGTGACATCAGTGGTTCAACCATCATTTTATGAAGCTACAAGAATACATTTTGTGCACAAAGAAAACAAAAATAACGACTATTTCTTATCTTCTGGGTCAGTCTCCACCGCCATTCACGAGAGTACCACGACGCATGCTTGTAAACAAGGTGCAGCGCATCCGGGTTTTACGGTAGAACGTCGGCTCATCAGCATCATCACACGCATCACATGCAACCCTTTAATACAGAACATGGAGACGCCAGCATGATATAATTTTTTTCCTGAAGCAACTTACAATACGGCGTCATTTTTGCTCATGCAGTTAAGAGTAATAAACCGAAAATATCAACAAAATGTTGTGCTTTTGTAAAATGTAAGAAAATAAACAGGATGTGCTTTCTGCTGTCTCAGTCTCCGACTGGAGCGCGTCACAAAAATTAAACAAAACAGCGTACAGGCTGTATGATCAAGTATGATCAAATCGAAAACAAATACTTTCTGATTATGTAATCCGTATGAAAGGTGTATCTCTCTGAAGGCACGTCCACTGTAGGCCTGCAGAGATGGCGATTCAACATCGTCAGCTTCATCTTTGCAGTCCACACACTGACTGAGAAAAAACTAGTTTTAATAATAAAAATATCTCCAGCTATTTTTTTCTGACACATTCATAGTCATTATTTTGCCTGTGCTTTACTGCAATTAAAGCATGTGTGCACTTGAATGCGGAAGGCTATAGCTAGCCTATCCAATTAAAGGCTCATTATGGTTTAGTATTTAAGTAATTAATATAAATGTGTGATTAACCGACTAATGGCTTAAATGAACGACTACTAGTTGACTAGAAAAATTGTTATTCAGGGAAGCTCTAGTTTTAATCCAGTCCTTGTTTTTTTATAACTCTTCCAGATGTGGTGAAGGCACGCTCGCGGCTGCTGCTGCTGGCGGGGACACTAAACATCGTGCGAGACAGTCTTGACAGTCGCGGTAGCATGGTCTCGGGTTGTTTCCACCAGTGTAGCACATCTTTTCCATCACCTTAATTGATGAATGTCTAAATATATAAAAAGAAGGAGAAGCCTAAAGCAGACCCGATGCCTGTGTGAGCTTTGACAAATTGACCAAAGCTCAGCCCTAGGGGCGTAAATAAGTCGGGCCCCATTGGGTTCAGGATGAAATGCAGGGCTCCACTCCACAGCCGCCACAGATGCGCCAGGACAATAATGTCCAGCGATGATGAGACTAATTTTCAGCAGCGGATGGAGGTGCCCCCAGAAGTGAGCCTGAAACCAATGTGCCTTCTGCTCAAACAGATGTGAAAACACTTGGAGCTATATGGGAATGAGGGGAATAAGGGATTGTTACTTGTAAATTATTCCTGTGATGCATTTTTTCCCCAGGATTCATTGATGAATAGAAAGGTCAAAAGAACAGTATTTATTTAAATAGAAATCTTTTGTAACATAAATGTCTTTACTGTCACTTTTGATCAATTTAACAAAAGTATTAACGACTAATTTCTTACTGTATTCTACAGATAACATTTTGCAAGCTTAACACTGTACGTCTGTTTACATGATTTTTTTTTAATGGTCTGTGATTCTGTGTTTATGTTTTACTATATTAAGGCAATAGTGCATGTACATGTGCATTATTCATTACATTGTGCTACAGTTGTACAATCGTTTTTCCTTCTGGAGCATCAGTGAGCGTTTTAACTTTTTGTAATAGTTACGTATGAGTTCCTCAGTTGTCCTCAGTGTGAAAAGATGGATCTCAAAATAATACAGTCATTGTTGGAAAGGGTTCAAGGGTTCAGCAAAAGATGCTGGAAAGCCAAAGGATTTGTGGGACCTGAAGTATTTTTTTTCAGAAGAACAGCAGGCAGTTTAACTATTCAGGACTAACAAGGGACTCACGAACAACTGTCAAAAAAAAAAAAAAACTGCTGTGGATCATCCAGGTAACAACATAAAGGGATGTGTATAGTATCACTGGTTTTAGTCGTTATACTGACACTTTCTGGTCAGTATGTGTTAAGTTTGCTTACTAGCTACTGCAGCTTTACACAAAAACTGTTAATTTTTTTGTTTTCTCCATCTCATCCATCACACATATTCATAATGAACATTCTTTGATAAAACCATGATGTGTGTTGTAGGGAGTTTCAGCAGTTACATTTTTTTCGTACATTTTTGCCAGTTTTTCCAGCTATACTCTTTCATTTTGATCAGATGATGTTGGCTCCATTTTTATGTTGGGTTTGCTTGTTTTGTTTACATTATGATTATGATTTTTGCCTTGAGCACTGGCTGAAAGCACTGTATAAAGTAAGCTAAACATTAATATTATTATTATTAACTCTGCTGGATTTGTCATATCAGCATAGTGGAATAAAGCTTTTCTTTCTGGAAGACTAGTACACTAAATCTGGAGTCCTCATTGCCTGTGAATTTATTTCTCCCTCAAACTTTCTGCCTCTTTAACGTGGCAGCAATACTGCTTCAGCTTGGAAGCATTGCTAAAAAATGTAATTTTTAACTTACCTTGGTTTACTTCATAAAAGCACACTTGCTGTATTAAAATAGCGTGTGGTCTGTTTGTGTTTATATTGAGACTTCCTAGTTCCGAATCCTCAATCGATTCTTTCTGACGTTTCTCAAGTCAGTGAGCAACTGAAAGAACGTTCTATTTCGTACAGTTAGGCCACGCCCATCGGGAATCCTCCTCGCTCCTGATTGGTCGATGGGCGCTGCTGAACGTGTTCCAGCTGTGAAGTCAAACGCGAGGATATTTAGTAATTTAGCGACCAAGGAACGCTAGTGGCTGGAAGCGTGTTTTGTCTTGGAGAACAGGTGGCATGGAAATGTCTGATAGGTACTGCCAGGGCACCAGGGTTGACGTGTCAAGGTAAGTTAGACAAGGTTTTACTTAAGTCTTTATGTAAAATTATTTTGCATAAACAGTTATAAATTCACAAGTCGCGTTGTTATAGTTTAGGTCTAATAAAATACACGACACCGCAAAAATTAAAATACTCTGCTGTATTTTTGCAAAGAGATTATTTAATAGGTTGTAATCTTACTTGTGTTTTACTCATTAAGTCAATAAACTCTACAGTCTGTCAGTAACTACACTCTCAGTGCTGTTGAGCAGGCAAACACAGCCTTGGACTTGCATCCTTGGTAGTGTTTTCTTAAAGGACATGTAGTGCAAAGTTTTTGCAAGTATTCATAAAGACTCAGTTAAAGTTTAAGAAACGCTTATTGAGCAACTAATTGACCCTCCCTTTCCTCTTTTGTTCATTGACCCCTTCCATCTTCCTCATCTTAAACAGAACTCTGTCACATGTGTAATGTGTCACTCTAAGTTGATTTATCATCTGTTTGTGCTCAAATATATTTTTGTGACATCACAAATCACACTTATCAAACTGCATTCATGAGGATATACAAGACCAAGTATGATCAATGGCATAAACACATCTGAATAAGTGTATAGGCTATACTGTAATTTACATTGTATATAAATTCTGTATTGTTATTATTATTGTTGTTGTTTTTTAATAAATGTTCTTCCTCTGCTAAATGCATAAATGTAACGATTGAAGATTCACTATTTATTAAATAATACATAACAGCAACAACAATTTATTATTAATATTATTATTATTATTAAAGATTCAATATTTTTAAATAATAGACAATATCGACATTAAAGGGGTCATATTATGCGATTTAAATTTTTCCTTTCTCTTTGGAGTGTTACAAGCTCTTGGTGCATAAAGAAGATCTGTAAAGTTGCAAAGACTAAAGTCTCAAATCCAAAGAGATATTCTTTATAAAAGTTAAGAGTCAACAACGCCTACCTAAAATGGCTCGTTCTAACACGCCCCCACATGTCTACGTCACGATGTGGGAAGATTTGCATAACGCCGCCCAAATGTTCACGCAAAGAAAGAAGGCGTAACTTTTATTCTCGCTGTAGTTTTGTTGTTGCCGCCGCCATGTCGTGAAGGCGCTGTGTGTTTCGTTGTGAAAGCGAACTACTTTGTTTGGCCTTCCAGAAGAGGACACGACTAGAAATCAGTGGTTAAGTTGTATTTACAACACTGTTCCAGAACAGTTAACACATTTCATTACACCAAATACACCAAATAATGTTCTTTTTAGCAACATCATATGACCCCTTTAATATTAATAATTGTTGTTTTTGGAGAGTCAATATTTATTAAATAATATATTAATATAATATAACTATAATATAATATAATAACACATAATAATAATGACAATAATAATTTACTTATTATTAATAAATATTAGATATTATTATTATTATTATTATTAATAGTTATTATTATATTAATGTTTATTATTATCTTGTGTAACAGTAAAACTTTTAAATTTTCTACTTTTTTATTTTTTCCACATTTTAGAAAAACATTGAAGTAATTAAAACTAAGAAATTAAAACACAAAATGTAATGACCAAAAAAATAAAAAAATAAAAACCATCCTGTAGTTGAGCTTTTCCCCCCCAAGTATTCTGTACACGTGTTGATTGCTTTTTCCTTAACCTACCAACCATCTATTTAATTTTTTTCATGGTTTTTATGTTTTCTGAAGAATTCAAAATTCAATCAGAATCATTTATTGAATATTTTAATACAGTGTCTCCACATCCATGGCCACTGATCCCATGACGGAGGAGATACTGAGAGATGACTTGCGGTTTTACTTCATGAACCCTTGTGAGAAGTACAGAACCCGGCGACAGTTACCATGGAAATTAGCAGTGCAAATTTTGAAAATATTCATGATTACACTCCAGGTATTTATTGGGCTACCAGTTTGCTTAAAGCTGAAATGTGCAATTGTGGTTTGATTTTTGTTAAATACTTTTGTATCCCAGCTTAATATGCAGAGTCCACTACAAGTAAGCCTGATTTTCCCCTAAAAAGGTGTCTGTGGTGTTTTCTGCTTGTTTAAGAATCCCAACAAGCGTAGGACAGCAAAAGAAGCTTAACCACTCAATTGTTTGTTTGACCAATGGAAGGCAGGGAAAGTGGTCAAGAAACCTGTTTGAACACAGTCACTATTTTTGCAATTCTATTTGTTGATGCTATTTGTGCAGAAATGGCACACTTCAGCTTTAAATGTAATCTTTTTCTGACATATTGGAGGATTTGCCACTAAACATGGTATTTTTGTTTTTGTAAATGATCATTAACATAATTGAATTTTCTAAAAGCTACAGTAGGCTTAAAGCCTCCAGCCATACTGAAAACATCTCCTCCTCTATTTTTTTCAAAGCTCATACTGTTTGGACTAAATAACCAGCTTGTGGTGTCCTACAAGGAGGAGAACCTGATGGCCTTTAAGAATTTGTTTCTGAAGGGCTACAGTGGTGTGGACGAGGATGACTACAGTATTTCTGTCTACACCAAACAGAGTGTGTATGATAGTTTACACTATGTGATAGATCAGGTTTGTATTTGTTTTTCATTTATCTTGCTTTTTGTTCTCCAAAACGTTTTCTCTTCCGTTACTTTATTAGCGTTAATTATGTTGCATGCAATTCTGTTGGTCTTATACTGACACCTAGTGGTGTGGATGAAGCATCGCGTGAAATCAAAAGCCAAATCAAATCAGTCTGCTGTGATTCTTTTTGTGTGAGAGAAAATGCCTGTTAATAGGAAGATTATTCTGATAAAGCAAATAATATTTAGCTGGTCATGTGATTTCAAAATGTCTGCCCCCATGAGGCGACCCTCTCCGTGTAAACTAAAGCGGTTTTATCTAATGTGAGTGGATGCAATTATGAACATATTTATCAAAAGTGCTACTCTTTTCTTTATGTGAGGAAATAAAAAGTTAAAACTTGCTTAATATAATATTTATCTATCTGTTCAACAGTATTCCCAGTTAGGAAACCTGTCTGTAGGTCCTGCTAGTTATGCTGAAGAGAATGGAGAGTTTCTGCCCTTGATCATCTGTAAGAAGAGCTACAAAAGAGGCAGCGTTGAACCGTCTGAGGAACCGTATGATATTGATGCAGAGCTTGAAACAGGTTACACATTTTTCAGAAAATGTGACAATCTAGTATAAACCATAAGGCAGTGCATAAACTGTAAATTTTTGTCTTTTCCAGATTGCTTAACTCTTGATCCAGAGTCCTCTAAAACATGGAGAATGAACAATGCTTCATTTTTTGAGTTGGAATTTTATAGGTTTGTGAACCTTAACTATATAACCGAAACATTTAAACAATACTCTTAATAATGGTTTCAATTATGGTTTTGGTTGAAATACAGGCTTGTCGATATTGAGATCACTTTCGCGCTCAAAGGAATCAACTTGAAAACTGTTCGTTCTCATGAGCTGCCAGACTGTTACACATTTTTTGTGAAGGTAAGGTCCAGTTTCAGGGATAATAATCCATTCATACCCCTTTTAGCTTGAATTACTTGAATAGATCCAATTGAATTCTTTGCAGATTTTCTTTGATAACAGTTGTCATAGCGGGAAGGTGAAATTGACCATTGATTTCGATGCGGTTAGTAGTGTGTGCAAAAACTGGAAGATTTCAGGAACTGGTATGTGAAAAATCATCAACTACAATAAATGCTTATGGTCAATGATTACTCGAAATACGTTTTTAATAGGGGTGCAACGGTTCAACTTTTTGTTGAACAAAAATGCTTTTTGTTCAATCGGTTTGTATCACTGTTTTAGAGTCACGGTTTCGGAACGGTTCGGTATGTGCTATGTTTAGGGAAAAAACGATATTGTCAAATAAAAATAAAGAAAATAAGAACAAATAATCTAACTACAAGCAACAGCACAAATAAATGCAATAGAGCAAAGATACAAATAAAATAAACAGTGCTTTTCAGGTTTTTTAGGTAGGTCTAACAGTTTTTAGGTACAGAAATTGAATAAAGTAATCAAATGTAAAAGACTTTAGTCTTTGCAACTTTACAGATCTTCTTTATGCACCAAGAGCTTGTAACACTCCAAAGAGAAAGGAAAAAATGAAATCGCATCATATGACCCCTTTAACATTAAAAACTTTAAGACAATGCACGGATCCAGTACACTGATACTGTACATTCAACCGACTATGTATGCTAGGAAACTCACCAAGACAGGCATGTTGACATGTTTTTTGTGTGAATTTGTCCATTCAAGCACAATACTTCAAAGAGAGCTTAATATTTGCACGCGTTCTGAAACGCGGGTTCACACTGGTTCTGAGATCTTCCCACTGCTCGCGCGAGTTTACGTCTTCTGGCTCTTTAATATTTAAACTGGCAAGGCTTAAATGAGTTTAGTTTAAACACAGATAGCAACGTGTGCTGTTCTGGTCTCACCTGCGCTATCAACACGTGATGACGGCATAAATGACAGTTATTCCAGCATAAAGCACTCGCATTGATTAAAGAGTGACTGGTTTGTCCACGTATTGTTTTTTTTCTCTCTCATCGCTCTTGTTGTAATGTATTGGGAAGCCAGAATTTGTATCCATCAACAGAAACATACATTAGCCGAACTCTAACAAACCATATTACAGATGCATTGTGAGATTTAAGTTGAACCGCGGTCCTAGTGTATGCTGAAACGTGTGTGGAGAACCGTGCGGTTCGATTTTTTACCGAGAACCATTGCACCCCTAGTTTTTAATGTTATGGCATAGCCATGTGGATTTTTATGGTTTGTTATTGTCTTTTTCAGCTCAGAAAAGCACTCACTACCTCCTGATCTTTGATGGCTTTGTTATTATAGTCTGTCTGAGCTCTGCAGTGCTCTGCACACGTTCTATTATACTAGCTGTGAGGTTACTTCAGGTAAACCTAGCTGCACTGAAGCCTGTCAATATTACAGATACGTTAACATTTTTTATAATCTACATCAGTTATTTTTGATGTTCTGTCATAGTGACTCAATGTGAACTCATGCCGTTCTGATCATTTTGTGCCTGGTCAATGTTTCCTTCATGTGTCATTTCCTCTCTCTGCAGCGGTTTTCTAGCTTCTGTCTTGAGAATTATAATCAGAAAGTGTGTGAAGATGATCAGAGGGAGTTCTTGAATGGCTGGTACCTCTTGGTGATCATCAGTGATGTTATGGCCATCATTGGATCGATACTAAAAATGGAAATACAGGCTAAGGTGCTTTTACTTTTTAAGAAAACATTTTTGCTGATTCATTTGATATTTACACGATCTGAAAAATTGCAGAGGAAGTTGTAGTTCCCCAAATTCAAAAAAAATGCTGATTATATTGCATGTTATTAGTTGGTCTATGGGAGAAATCACTCCCACCCATAAAAATATTCAAAAGATTATTTTTTTTTAAATTTCCCAATATAATGTTGATTCTCATTATTTGTAATAAAGTTTATTTAAATGTAATTCAACATATTATATTAATAGCTTATATTAAACACTTTATAGTTTAAATATTTTATTTTAATTTTTATGTATTTATCATATTAATATTTAAATTTTGTTTATGGTTTAAAATTATTTATTGTGAAGTAATTTATATTTGGAAGGAAAATATACTTAATTTTTATGAAATATTAGTATAAAAATATAAAAATATTTTTGATCATGAATCTTTTTGGGAAATTGTGCTTTTTATTGAATATCATTTTATATTTTGGGGGAAATACTAGAATTTTTAATAAAATCATTCATTTATTAATTTGTACTTATTTTTGGTAAGATAATCGGGGAAATGTGCTTAGTTTTTATTAAAATCATCAGATTTGAGTTTCTGAAGATAGGTGGAAACGAACACTTTATACATTTAAATATTTGCATTGTTATGTATTTATTTAGTAATTAAGTGTTTTTATTTTGTTCATTTAGCTGATTTTTTGGTAAGGTAATCTAAATTTGGATCTTAAATCTTAATGTTAATGAAAATCTTTTGAGTTAAGTTTCTAAAGTTAGTAGGAAATAAACCCTTTATAACATTTTTTTTTTAAAGAAATGTTATGTACTTATTTATGGTGTTATTATTTTTTATTTTATGTAAATTATTTTTTTGGTAAGGTAATCTAAATTTGGTGTGAAAATGTGCTTAATTATCTTGAAAATAATTTTATTTTCAACTTAAGTTTATGAAGTTAGTTGGAAATGAAGAAACTATAAAATTAAATTGTTTCTTGTCATGTATTATATTAGTGTTTTAATTAATTAATTAAAATTATTTTTGTAAGGTAATTTAAATTGGGAGTAAAATGTGCTCAGATTGCATGAATTATTTGATTTTAGTTTCTAAAGTTAATTGGAAAAAACAGATCATATTCTTTTTAAGAGCTGCACAGATTTTGCGGTTCTTCATGGCATTATGCAGTCCTCTTACAGAAACGCTTAGTAGTCTTTAGACTTTGGCCCTGTGCTGTAGGGTGATTTAAGGCACAGCAATTAAACAATTTTATGTAATGTTTACTTTGCACTGGCATGGAAGCACAAGTTTGACCTACAATCAAAATGCTCATAAAGTTCCTTTCTCCTCTCAGAGCATGACCAACTATGATGTCTGCAGCATCTTCCTGGGAACATCAACTCTAATGGTCTGGGTGGGCGTCATAAGGTATCTGGGATACTTCGAAAAATACAATGTAAGTCAAAATGCACAAAATCACATTAAGAGCATGAAGGTAAATGTATAGCAAGTTTGCCGAGGTGAAGTACATGTGTTTTATTGACCACTAGTCATATAACAGTGTTGATTGCTTAAGACTAATCATTTATTAAGGCCCTAAAATAATTTTATGACAACACAGGTGCTTATCCTCACTATGCGAGCAGCCTTACCAAAGGTCTTGCGCTTCTGCTGCTGCGCAGGAATGATCTACCTCGGCTACACCTTCTGTGGATGGATTGTTCTTGGTCCCTACCATGAGAAGGTAAATAAATAAACAAACAAACCCACTCCATAAATGTTTGTAGTTTGTATTGTATACTAGTGAACAGTGTTGGGGAGTAATTAGTTACATGTAACGGCGTTACGTAATTTAATTACAAAATAAATGTAACTGTAATCAGTTACAGTTACTAAGAAACAATGTGTAATTAAATTACAGTTACTTATGAAAATGTTAACGATTACAAAGGGGATTACATTTGAATATTTACACACATCTACATACAGATTTAATTGATTTTTTCCCCAAATTACACTGACTTCTCTGAGACATACGGCCCTATAATTTTCCGCGATGCGGAAAACACAGACTGGTTCGTAGAATCCAGTCGTAAAAACGGAATTCCTAATATAGCCTAACGCGGACGGAATATGCCACATTTTGGACGAATAAATCAAAAGTAGGTCAGTACACTTGAATCAAAACGCGATATGGACTAGTGTCTATGAATATTAAGCCGCGAAAAGACTATCCTGCACGTTCTCTGTGGAAATCAGGCGCGAGCAGCAGCCCATTGCTCATCAGTCATCACCCAAAATACTGTATAAAGGACATCATTATTATCTATTACAGTATCAGACAACTAATCATATTTTATAATAGGTTTAGGGGGAACTAGGACAGACAACAACACAACCCTTACGAAAATGAATGATGATTTTTACTATAAATCCAAAGACAATGGTTACTATTGTCAAACCATGGTAACCACAAATTAACCATGGTTTTTGATACACTAACCATAGTTTAACCATGGAATTTGTAGTAAAAATAAATACAAATGGTAATCCATTTGCCAAAAAAAATAACTATTGTACTTTAAAAAAAAATCCAAAGCATTGTTAGATGCAGTGTTTCCTGTAGTTATTTCAAAAACAGTATCAGTAAACTATTTCTTATGATTTTAAATCACTACTATTACATTTTAAATAGGGTAACTTGTAATCTGTAACCTATTGCATTTCCAAAGTAACCTTCCCAGCACTGCTAGTGAAGTATGGATGCACTGTAAAAAACTTTGTGGTTTTGAGATGTGTAGTCTTTCTTATGTACAGTAGATGGCAGTATATGTTGACATATTTAAAGAACCATCTATTGACCAAATTTAATATAATATATTATAATATAATATATATATATATATATACACACACACACACACACACACACACACGTTCATACATAATTATATGAAATATAAAGTTTTTTGATTAATAAATAAGGTATTTTTTCTACTGCCAAATGTCAGTATTTCACACTGGTCTCATGCACATTTTGTCCACATGTCTTCTCCCATGCATTTACCATCTGTATGCGGGTCAGTTTGAAGGTCTGAGTCGTGTGGCAGAGTGCCTCTTCTCTCTAGTCAACGGGGACGACATGTTCCCTACATTTGCAGAGATTGAGCAAAAGAACACAATGGTGTGGCTGTTCAGCCGAGCTTATCTTTACTCGTTCATCTCACTCTTCATCTACATGGTGCTCAGTCTCTTCATCGTCCTCATCACAGACGCTTACGAGACCATCAAGGTACCATCAGCTTAACATGCTTAACACACAGTGACTAGTTTGTACTAGAATTTCTCCATGGTTTAGTGGTTAGCGCACATGTTCCAACACATTTCTCAATCTTGTTACCTTTTTTCATCCTGTTATTTCCTAGCCACTTTTTACTATCCAAATAATAAAAAATAAATAAATGAATAAAAAAGGCAAAAAGACCAATGGTAATATAATAAATGCATTTAGTTATTTTTGAATTTAGAGGCCTTATTAGTGATATAATAGTAGATCGAATGAGTGTCTATGACTGTGAAAAATATCTCTAGTTTATTCTCTTAATAGATTAGTTCACACAGAAATGAAACCGTCATCCTTTACTCATGTCTTTCCAACCTCATTTTATTTTCTTACGCAAAAAAAAAAAAAGGCTTCTCTTTTTAAGGCATATTCTATGTATTTTTATTCATTAAATTATTATTTTTTTATTGTCTTCATAGGTTAGTTTACACAAAAATGAAAACTGTCATTACTCATTTCTTTCCAAACCCTTTTTATTTTCTTTCTAAGGCAAAAAAACTAAATCTTAGACAAAACATCAGATCAGAGGAAAGAGAAAGTATATATTTTTTTTTTCATTTTGTTTGGTTTGTTTGTTTTGTGTGGTTTTTTTTTTGGAAGGGGGTTGTTTTTTGTTTGGGGTTTTAGTTTTGTTTCATTCTGTTTTTTTGTTTGGTTGTTTTTTTGTTTTTGTTTGGATTTTGTTTCGTTTTGTTTTTTTCTTCCTTTTTGCTTTGATTATTTTATTTTATTTATTTTATTTATTTAAATCTGAGTCAGGACAACTTCAGAGTGAGTAAATGGTGGCATCATTTTCATTGCTGTATGAACTTTCCTTGTAGATTGAATACAATTCAGCACTATTAAAGCTGCACTACACTCGTTTGTAGCGTTTCATATCAACTTCTCCATTTTGTCTAGGGTTACCAAACAACAGGCTTCCCCATGACAGAGCTCCAGCGGTTTCTGATGGGGCAGAAGGAGGGTTTCCCCCTCCAGGGGCAGGAGGGGGTCGACGCAGAGTGTGGCGAAGCCGAGACCGTCCACCCTTCTGTTGTGCTGTGTTGCTGCAAAAGGTACAGTATATAATCACAGACATCAGCTGCAGGGCAGCAGTGTTTCCTCCAGAGCTGAGGTCAGCCCACTATGGCATGAGAAATGGAATTAGTGGTGGGAGAGAAAGATGGACACACCCAGCAAAGTGCTGATTACAGAGAAATGTTCTCTGTGAGAAAAAAATGGAGAAGGCTTCCCCTTGCCTTGCAGGAATGGTAAACAAACGAGAGTTTAGAAAAGAAAAAGTTGCCCCATAATGATGCCCATTATTGTTCAGAGTTTTTTTTTTTCCCTCTGGGGAATATTGCCAGAGCTTTTTGTCTTGTAAGTTTCTAGCTGTTTTGGGTTGCAATACGAGAAAACGTGAAACTGAACTCTGAAAGGAGGACTCATTGTTTGCTTGAGTGTCAGATGCGAGGGAAAGCCCGGCTGTAATTTGATGCTGTCTAAATATCAGGTTAAAAGCCACTTATGCTGCACTGATTAGATTTCAGCGTGGATATTACAGTACTTTGGGATGAAATTGGGTTTTACAAGAATCTTCCATCATCTCTTCAGATTAGAACTGGTGTTCCTGCTCTACAAGCTAGGGCCAGAATTATACTTCATTATCTTTTCATCTGGAAGAAAGAAAAACGTGTTATTCCTGCCTGGTTGGCTGAGTGATTCTGTCTATATTGGCATCTTTTATCACCCCTATTATAAATGGTCAAAATTATTCTTTAAAAATGATAAATAATACATGTTTAAATATAAATTATATATATATTATAAATTTAAAATTTCACATTTGTTGTTAAAATAGACCACATTTCAATTTGGTATTTATTTATTTGTTTGTTTGTTTTTGAAGGAAGTATATGTTCACCCAGGCTGCATTTATATTATCAAAAATAGGCCTAGAATAAAAAAAATATATATATACTATTACAATTTAAAACGTTTTCTATGTTAATATATTGTAAATGTAATTTATTTTAGCATTTTTTGCAACACATGTAAAATTTTTACTGTCACTTTTGATCAATTTAATATAAAAGAATATTAATTTCTTTATTTATTTCTTTATTTTTACTTACCCCAAACTATAAAATATGAATTACTGATGTAACCAAATTTTTCTTTACAAAAAGAGTTACAGGGATAGTTTGTTTTAAGGAATTTACCTAATTTGACATGAAACTAACCTGCAAAGTTTTCTGGACTCAAAAAAAAAAAAAAGAGTTTCTTTAGGAATCTTTAGTTTCACTTCCTTTGGAAACTGCGACCAAACACATTTATATAAAGGTTGAAAGCTGTGCAACCAAAATCTGCACTGAAAACCCATCAGAATTCAAAATTGTACTGTAAGTTGGTTCAAAGATGGCAGAAACTGTTTCAGATCATCTATGTTCAAATATAGGAACCGGCAACTCACAATATACCAAATTTGTGTCCTTTTTGCAGGGTTCCCAAAGATGACACCATCATTCTCATCAGTTGACCGTTGCGACTGATTCAAAGTTGAATCTACTGAAAACTGCAATGGACTTGCAGCTTAATAAGAGAAAGTTTGTGTGAACATGTTTACTACTCTATGTACATGGTTCATGTCCTACACAGGAAGCAAGATCTTCCTGTGAACATGCCAATTTCATTAGGAGCTGGTAAGACCTGCATTAGCAGACGGATAAATGCCAAATCATATCTTCCAAAGTGCACTACAATGCAATTAAGAGCAACAAATGAAGTGTTTTGTGGGTCAACTGGCAACCGCAGAAGATGTTTGATGCATTTTGATGTGCAATCTGTAAAATAATCCCTGTCTAATGTTGTACACTCTTAAAAATAAAGGTGCTTCACGATGCCATAGAAGAACCTTTTTGTCTAAATGGTTCCATAAAGAACCTTTAACATCTGAAGAACCTTTCTGTTTCACAAAAGGTTCTTTGTGGCGAAAGAAGGTTCTTCAGATTATAAAAAGATAAGAAAGAGATGGTTCTTTAAAGAACCTTTGACTAAATGGTTCTTTGTGGAACCAAAAAGGGTTCTTCTATGGCATCGCTTGAAGAACCTTTTGAAGCACCTTTATTTTTAAGAGTGTATAGTAGAGGAAATATCTTTTATGATATTATTTATGTGTCATCTGGATTGTCTGCTCATGTTTTACATTAGAGAAGTAACATTAAATTACACATTTGTGCTGATTTTTATATCAGCCCTTTGGCGTGTTGCGTCAAAGTTTTAAAGATAAAGTCTCTTGATATTGTGCTTCAAATATGTGAAGTGTCTAAGGAATGATTGTAATGTGTATGTGCAACACCGGAGTTGTAAGAATGCATTGTTCGCTCAGCTAAGGTAACTTTTGTCTTGGTGGAGATGATCATACTTTATGATGTGAATCATGGCTCATTATCATCATCATCATCATCCCACAATTAACAAGGAAGGCAGACAAGTTCCTACGTGACTTGCTTAGTAAGCAATTGCTCACTGGGAGAAAGACCTTGGGTGCGGGAATGAAAGATAATCAAAAAGATTTTGTATTTGCAAACTAAAGACGCCTTTTGTGTTCGTGATTTTCTTTTTTGGATGAGCGGGCGGGTGTTTGGGTTAAAGCTTTGTTATTCAAAGTAGTAAAATTAGATGGGTTGTTAAAAGAGAGAGTTTTGCAAAAGGGGCTTTCTTGACCTCAAAAACCAATTAAACCAGATGCTTGGTTTTTAGAATGATGGTTTCAATTCTTTTTTCTATAAGAAATGAAACTCAATCCCAAACCAGACACAAAATCTGTAATTTACCTGCTCTGACACTCGTTACTTCTATTATGTCTTTAATTAGGCCCATGTATTTATTTTATTTTATTGTACTTGAAACTAAGCTCATTCAGAACGTCAAACATTTACATAGGCATATGTTTACAATCGCAATGATGACATGCAGAGCAACGGCGCCAAAAGTAAAACAAATCTCTTTATGAATATGGCTTGTTTCTCCTATAAATAGCATTTCGATCAATCTCCATACCCTCAATACATTGGAAAATGCTTATTTTCATGTTATCCTCATTATGACTGCTTAATATTAAATGTTCACTAAGATATTGAGGTGCCTATACTTTCATGACCCAAATCTTCATATTTGATGATGTTCAATGTTGTGGATCCTCCTTTACCTCACACACTTGAGTAAAATTGCGTAACTTTACGAAATAGACGCTGACAGAGAAAAAGCCCCTAATAAACGCGTCATTTGTCTGTACAGTGACACAATCTGAATTCGTTTAAACCTTAAACTAGTAAACTTTTTTTATTTAAACACTTGAGGTCTTCGGCTCGTGCTGAGATGAAACGCAAGTTTAGCGTTATTTCCTTTTCGAAAAACTTCATAGCGTTAAGTTTTTATTAACTTTTTACGAAAGCAGCAGCATATTTGCGGGCGGTGTGCGCTGACCACGCCCACACTGACAGTCTGACACGCCCACTCCCCTCCCTAAAACTCTCAAGAACAAACTTCTGCAGAAGCTTCACTCAGAGTCGCCTTGCGCTTGTGGAGTCACGCCGGATCTGCGCGATACTTCGGACTACTCATGGAGAGTGAACTGAGAACCTGACGGGTCTGACACTGGTAAGAGAGCTGTATATATCACTGCACGTTACTGGACGAGTTTCATACATTTGTATTGTGGGATTTTGATTGATTTGGTTTGTTTTGATTGTACCCTGCGGTGTAACATGCATGTAAAACAATCTGAAACAGCATTTGGGCTTATACTAATTTGACTATACACTACAGTTTAAAAACCAACTAGTGAAGACAAAGTGTGATTAAGATGGCAATGAAACCTGGGATAAACTGTTTAAAAATGTACAAATGCTACAGTACAAACTGAAGTAAAAAGTTTATACTTAAAAAAAAACGTGAGTTTATTGTAAAACACTGCAAAAATGTTTTTAGATGTGAACAACATAAACTATTTTACCTAATTTTATAGTGCATTTAATAATGTAATACAGATACTCTTATGGTGAAATAATGCAGAAAGGGCAATTATTATAACATTTATTTGGATTTTATTCAAAAAGTTAGTCTATCAATCAATTTTCAATCATGTATGTTTGAGTGTTTATGTTGGATTCTTTGTTGTTTAGTTTATTGCAATTCTGGTGGCGTTTTGTCTTTTGTAATTATGGGTTTTCCCATGAATGACTAATAAATGAAGCTTTATAGTCCCAGACAATATACTTATTTGTTGTTTTCCTTCCATTCATAGTGTTTTTTGTCCAAAGATGGCCAGGTATAATGTTTGCTACCATGATAAGCCCATGGGCTTTTTCTACAACAACAGCAACATAACCTCAGATGAATGGGACCAAACGCAGCTCATCCTTGTTCAGGTCGCTGGATCCATCTGCTGTTGTTTCATCCTAGTGGCCAACGCCATGATCATCACGGCGGTGGTGACAAACAGGAGGTTTCACTACCCCTTCTACTATCTCCTCGCCAACCTTGCCGCCTCAGACTTTCTCGCCGGGATCGCTTACGTGTATCTCATGTTCAATACAGGGAAAATATCTCGCGATCTCACTGTTCAAGGCTACTTCTTTCGGCAGGGTTTGCTGGACACGAGTCTCTCCGCATCCCTGACCAACCTCCTGGTGATCGCCCTCGAGCGCTACATCTCCATCATGAACTGGAAGGTTCACAGTAACCTCACCAAACGTCGGGTGACCCTGTTGATTGCCCTTGTGTGGGGTATTTCGATATTTATGGGGGCCGTTCCTAGTTTGGGCTGGAACTGTATCTGCAGTCTGGACCTGTGCTCCAAATTGGCACCCATCTTTAGCCGGAGCTACCTGATCTTCTGGTCTGTGTCCAACCTGGTGCTCTTCCTCATAATGGTGGGCGTATACTTGAGGATATACATCTATGTGATGAGAAAGACTGTTGTCCTGAAGGAACACACTTCTGGATCTATTAATCGAAAGAGGACGCCAGTCAAGCTCATCAAAACTGTGATGACCGTACTTGGTAAGTTCTGGAGATGCTCTTTAGATATGGTCTTGCGAAAGGGATAGTTCACCCCAAAATGAAAATGCTCATGTTGTTGCAGACCTGTGTGACCTTCTTTCTTCTTTGGAACGCAAAAGAAGATATTTTGAAAGTCAATGGAGTCCTTAGTCAGGACATACGCATATTTAATTGTTTTAAATTTTGTTCAGCTGATGAAACGTCTTTCCAAAAAAAAAAAAAAAAAAGCAGTGTGTGCTACTGTAAAGACTGTAGTCATTCCCTCACAGCCTCATTTTCTCATTAAATTCAATATGGCATCTACAGTAACTTCATTAAGGTCTGTTGTGGATTTGGACCCCATTGACTTTCATTTTATGGTCAAAAACGGTTAAAGCGTTCATCAAAATGTCTTGTGTTCCACAGAAGAACAAAGTGCATAACGGTTTGTAGTTATTCAGTGAAATATTGGCAACGGAAAATACTTGGCAGAAATGGCCAAAATGTATGAATTTTGTGGCTGGACTTTTTCAGTTGCAGAAATTTCGGTGCATGACTACGAAGTCCCAACAAATCTATTTAAGCCAAAGCCAAAAATTCATAGTTTTTTGCCATTTCAATCATACCGGTTTGTATTGATGCACTGAAATTTCTGCATTCGAAAAACTTTTTGGCGGTTTCAGCTGACTAACCGATATGCATTTTGACCGAAATATTTATTTCAAGCTTTTTTAATGATGTGTTTTGACTGTTTCAGTTTCTATTTAATGTAAACAATGTGGATAACCTAAAACAAGAAACCATGCCAGCTGTGTGGGTGCTCTTCCCCATTACCAAGAATTGTGCTTGAGTAGCTCAGCTGTATGTTAAATTTGTTCGACTGAAATATTGAAAGGCACCTCGTTTCCGAACGCATTCACTACAACTGCTTTACCACCAGAAAAGACGACACCCTGAAAAGCATAAAGCGTTCAATTACCCAACTGCCCAAATTTAATTACCCAAACTAATTTTGGTTTAATGTCTTGGTAAAAATATTCATTTTGGTTCATCACTACTGGTTTGGAATGACGTGATGTTGAGTAAATGATTACAGAATTTTCTTTCTTCTATTTTTTGTGAACTATCCCTTAGTATGACAATACTAAATTACTACAAGTAGCCTGATAATATGGGAAGTGACTTCATTGCACAAATGCGGCACGTTGAACCACCACATGCATTCCAGACTGTGATATGTATCGGAATGTATCATTACTCCTCAGTCACTCAAAGTTCAATGGCAATTACAGGATATGTTGGTTTATAGTTTTCCCACAAGCCTCCATAGCTCTGATGAGCTGTCCAAAGTCCACGCCTTTAGTCTGTAACCATGATAAACGCTCCCAGACTGCTGAATATGTTAATTTTACTCACAATGGAGGCTTGTAAAGTCTCAAATATTTCTTGCCAAACTTGTAACCCACTCAAGTGTAGGTGATGTGGGACAGGGTGGGTAAATATTTCTGCAAATTTATTACAGACATGACAAATATTTAGATTGGAAGTATGTGATCTCATATCCTGTTAACCACGGCAGACATCTACATATTTTTTTGGAGATGTTAAACTTGAATGAGGAGATGTAGACGAGAAACTGAAGAGTTAACATACAATAGGATGCAAGAGTTAACAAGGAGACACAAAACACGAAACCTCCCACCATTGCATTAGCTGATTGCTATCATAAGTTCAAAGGTTGGATTTCTTTTGCCTTTTGTTTTTCTTTGTCTTTTATTATGAATCGTGTTGAAACAATCTACAAGATGTTTTTGTCTGCAAACAGGCCAGTGATAAATAAGAGTGTGTGA